GGGGGGGATAGAGAGAGAGGGAAAGGGAGAGGGAGAGGGGGTGAAAACCGGCTGAAGTAAATTTGAGTCGTAGAAGCCCGTGAACGATTGGTTTGTTCAGTGAGGAGTCTAAGCACATCCACACAGCAAAGGAGAGGAGATACAAGATAAGGACAATATATGTTTAATCATTATTTTTTTTTACTAGAGGTATTACGGCACTCACAACTGCATAAGGTCATATGAACGCCAGAAGATTACAGGTGTTACAAGAGAGTTACAAACATAAAAAAAGAAGGCGAGAAGATAAGGACGATGGATGTTTGATAGGAAAGAAGGAGCAAACCACACCAGAGCACCCGCCAACCACCCACGTTTAATAAGAATGAAGGAGCCCGTAAAAATAAACAGAGAAAAAAAAAACCCAAACAAAACAAACTCGTAATAATAATATTGTCACGAAAATGACCTTCTCGACGTCTCTCTAGAGCTCATTAGCAACGATAAGTTCGTCATTGGCTGCTCGTTGACTGACCTTTTCCCACCATTCTCAGGCTATGCGAAAGAACGACGCGACCAGTACATAGGAGTGAGTAACTTAACTTTCCTCAATACACGCACATGAAGAAAGAAATACACAAGGCCTGAGGACACTTGGTGCAAAGTGACGGACCTTTTTTTTTTTTAGTTTTGTTTTTGTAGGAGTTTTACGGCACTTGCAACACAATAAGGTCATATAAGTGCCGAAGATTAGAGGTGTTACAAGAGAATAACAAACACAAGAAAGAAGGAGGGAAAGATGGAGATGATAGATTTTTTTTTTTACAGGAAAGAAGAAGCAAATTACACCAGAGCACTCGCCAACCACCCACGTGACGGACCTTAAATCTTATCATCACACATGCCATGACATGAGATGAGATAAACAACAACGTGCACTGTGGCAGAATGTGGAAAACAGACTGGTAGGCAAATAGAGAGGGGGGGGGAGGAGAGAGAGAGTGAGAGTGAGAGAGAGAGAGAGAGAGAGAGAGAGAGAGAGGGAAAGAGAGAGAAAGAGAGAGAGAGAGAAAGAGATTATATTGATAGAAGGACTGAAAGAGAGAGACAGACAAAGGGTAGGACAGACAGACAGAGGGA